GCTGATTTTCTTTAGGGGTGTGGCCACCTGAAAGTTGACCACATTCCAGTGGATGGTCCCATGTCATCCAGTAGTTTATGGGCAGTACAAATGGATTCAGTAGGTTATAAGACAGAGGGGTGGAGGAAGTTGGGAGTTGGAAGTAGGAGGGTGAATATGATCAAAATACATTGTATGCATGGATGAAGTTCCTCAAAAGTCATTACAATACATTTGAATGAGAACTAGTGTCTACCCATGATCTGTATGACTGCATTCAGAGGCGCTCCACTCACAACAGCACTAGGAGCATCTCAATGTCCATCAGTTGGCCAGTGGGCAAGCAAACCGAGATACATCATCAGTCCAGAGGAATACTGCTCGGAACTGAAGGGGAGTGGATTGGACTTGGTATGTGACTCCGTAGCAGGATGCTGCATAGACCTGGTTTTGACCCTACCTCAGAGAGAATAAGAGGAGAAAGGGAAGCAGGCATGCACACTACACAGATGAATCTCAAAGGAATTACATTAAGTGAGGAATGCAGGAGAAGGCTCTTGCTGTAAGGTTGCATTTATGTAATACTGTCAGAAAGATAAAACTATAGGCGCAGAAAACAGGCCAGTGGTGACCAGAGGCTGGCATGGGGGTGGGGAGCAGGGGGCAGGGATGGACCATCAGAAAGCCTGAGGAGGCACTGCACAACTCAGACAGAACGTCGACTCCACTCATGTCTCTCTCATGTGTCCTGTTTTGTCTGACTTTCCCCATGCCAGTCTAGCTGGATCTAGTCTATGACACAGGCCTGGCCATTGGCTGGATCTTCACAAAAGGCTCTAAAGACCCTGCATACCATTGGCAGGAGAGAGCACTTGGGGCGTGCTTTGCAGACCGACCTCTCATCTCAGGCAGAGCCGAAGTCTAGACACACAGAAGCAAGAGGAGGCCTTGGTGCCCAATGTACCCTCCTATCTAGATTTAGCATGAGCCCCCTCCCCCCGACCACCATCACCAATATTGCAGCTCCTTCCAGCTTAACTTGAGAGTCTCTAGTGCCTAGCAGAGAAAGAATCCGGCTCTCAAGAAATGATAAAGGAGCTGGGCGGTGGTGGCGCACCCCTTTAATCCCAGCACTCAGGAGGCAGAGCCAGCCTGGTCTACAGAGCAAGATCCAGGACAGGCACCAAAACTACACGGAGAAACCCTGTATTGAAAAAACAAACAGAAAGAAAGAAAGAAAGAAAGAAAGAAAGAAAGAAAGAAAGAAAGAAAGAAAGAAAGAAAGAAAGAAAGAAAGAAAGAAAGGAGGGAGGGAGGGAGGGAGGGAGGGAGGGAGGGAGGAAGGAAGGAAGGAAGGAAGGAAAGAAGGAAGGATAAAGGAGTGAGCAGACCACAGTGTGGAGTAGGAGCGGATGAGCATGCATAAATATGATGAACGTAAGCCTTACAGCTGTCTCCCACCTGTGGGCCCTGACTTACCGTGTGCTCCTAATTTCTCACTCACGGTACCAGCCGGTCTTCTACCTCAGAATGCATGCATGCCCTCTTATCCTGGGGGACAGTGCGAAGTGCAGTGCTGCAGGGTGGTGGCCTTCTTGTCCCCGGGAAATGTGAGCTCCCACACCCACTTTGGGCCAACCTCTCACTGGCTCCAGCTGCCTGAGGTAGAGGGTGAGTTCGGGCAGTTGAGGACAGATTCACAGGTGTAAACGGTAAGTGGGTCTTGGATTCTTTGTTGGATCTGTCTGAGAAGATCTAAAGCTTCCACTTCTCTCGTCGAGCTCCTGTGCTAAGTAGAGGATTTTACTTAGAATCTCTGCCAGGTCAAGTCGCTCCCCATCTTGCATACTTTAATGATGGCTCACACCCTTAGAATTAAAATTTGACTTCTCCCAAATGCCCGCAGGCTCTCTCTTCACTCTCCACCCCACAAGCACAGTGGCTCCCGTGGGGCCCGTTTACACCTTACTCCTCTTTCTGAGTGGCTCACCATCCTGATGGGGAAGCCCACACAGTCACCCCATTGTCAAAGGCAAACACCTTAGCCTCACTTCCTTTCCCCTGTGTTCCTCTGGCCCCAACTGCACCCCCCTGGTGGCCACCCACCTCTTCACCCTCCTGACAGAACAACATTTCCAGAAAATGACAGGCACACAGCATTCACTCTCCTCTTGTTCCATTTCCTAGAAAACAAATGCCAGTTCCACGGCTCTGTTTACGGCCTCCAGTGCCTGGTGCTGTCTACTGCTCCAGCCCTGCCTCAGTCCTCTGCACCCATCCTACATGACGACACTCAGAACTCTTACACCCCCATCCCATACACCCGCCGGTGCCCTGCCCTTCTCAGACAGATCCAATCCAGAATCTAAGACCCCGTTACCGCTCACACCGGTGAAATTGTCGGCAACGGCCCCAAACCTCTTGCTTGTTCCTACCTCTGTGATTGTACACAGCTTACTACTTTGAAATCGCTACTGGACCCACTCATTGAGCAAGCAAGACTCGGGGAAACGATGCAGGTAGTTCGATCCCTGGTGGTAGCTGAAGTCTGAGGCAGACTTGTGACTAAGCAACTCATGATCAGTTTTGAAGTTCTGCACATACGACAGATGACAGTGTTTCTTGTCAGTTACAGCCCATTACAGTTCATCACAGGAGCCCACAATACACAGGAGACTCAGACTATTTGCTCATCTTCCTTTGTCCTTAGAGAGATGGCAGCTTTCTACCTTCCCGATCTCCCTGTCTTGGGGGCTGCAGATTCATACACACACTAGCCTGCCCCTCCTGCAGGTTTGGACACACACTAGCTGCCCACTCCTGCAGGTTTGGACACAGACTAGCCTGCCCCCTACTGCAGGTTCAGACACATACTAGCCTGCCCCTCCTGCAGGTTCTGACACACACTAGCCTGCCCTCTACTGCAGGTTCTGACACACACTAGCCTGCCCCTCCTGCAGGTTTGGACACACACTAGCCTGCCCCCTACTGCAGGTTCTGACACACACTAGCCTGTCCCCTCCTGCAAAGCTGAGCCATTTCACAGGAGGACTGTAGGCAGAAGTTTTCCTGTGTCCTGCAGCTGCTTGGCCCCAAGTAAACACACAGAGGCTTATATTAATTACAAACTGTTTGGTCTATGGCTCAGGCTTCTTGCTAGCTATCCCTTTCATTTCAAATTGACCCATTTCTATTAGTCTATGTTTTGCCACGTGACCATGGTGTTACCAGTCTGTTGACATGTTGCTCCTTGGGTGGTGGGCTGGTGTCTCCTCCAACCCCTCCTTCCTTCTGTCTGTATCTCTCTTGGATTCCCCACCTGGTTCTATTCTGCCCTGCTGTAGATCATAGCAGCTTCTTTATTAACCAGTGGTAGCAACACATATTCACAGAATACAGAAAGACCATCCCACAGCAAAGGACTTGCCCATGTGCCCCACAGATGATTATGTTGGCTCTTCCTATGACACTGTGGCTTTCCTCCAATCAGACTCCCTAGATATGGACATGTCACCCCTTGGGATAGCAGCTCTAAACTCCGCCCTGCAGTGCACCCCACTTCCATTCCCAAGCCTTCTTTGCCCTGAGAGAAGACTCTCTTCCAAAATTCCACTTTAAATGACTTGTGGATGATCTGTGTGCTATATGTCCCAGAAACCAAACCTCAGAATCATGGCCCTCCATCATCTCAATGCTGTGACCTGGGCCCCCTTGGTGTCCTGAGCAAGAATCAGGTTCCAGTACTCTGGGAATCCATAGCTGCTCTGGCTGGTCCTGAAAGAGCTACTGTCACCAAGCTTGGAATTAAGAGGCAGCATAGAGACCACTGCCACCCTTCCCACAGGGGGGAGGGGGCTCACTGCACAGTTCCTTCCATTAAAGCTCTTTTAAAACAATTCTAGCTGGGTGTGGTGGCACACACCTTTTATCCCAGTACCTGGAGGCAGAAATGGGTAGGTCTGTGAGTTTGAGTAAGGCCAGTCTGGTCTTCATAGCAAGTTCCAAGCTAGCCAGGGCTAGATAGTGAGACTTCACACACACACACACACACACACACACACACACACACACACACACACAAAAAAAAAAAAAAAAAAAAAAAAAAAAAGCAAAATAATTCCACATGCTCTGCCATCCCTATTATGTGTTTGCCTCAAGATAAGGGCCCAAGAGCGGTTTCACTGATGTTCTGCCCATCCATCTGGAAATGTTGTACATGGTCCAGTGCCTCCTTTGGGAAGTAGCATCCTCTGCAGTCTGATGCCAGGTCTAGACTCTGCAACTTGCTTTCTTGCCACACAGATCTCTCACTCCTCCAGCAAGTAATTCCACCCTTGGGAAGGGCCAGGGACTTAGGCATCTGTGTCTCCCCTCAGAAACAACTGCTGTCACTGAAACTGCCCTCCCTAGTCACACATCACACCCTTGTGGACTTGTCTTCTTTCTCCACTTATCCCTTGAGGTGTCTCATCCTGTCCCTGTGTGCTGTTGCTCCATTGGTCATCACCGTATCCCCACAGGCCTACCTAGCCACCAGCAGGAACCTCCTGAATGGCCATGGTCATGGCCATGCCACAGCAATCCTGCACCCCACGCTGAAACCAGGGTGAGCTTTTTCAGAGGCAATCTGATAATGTCCTCTTCCTCTGTCAACTGACTCTGAGTCAACGCTGTGAACCTGGTGCACCTCTTCACCTCAGACTCGTCCTGTGTCCAGCGCCTCGGTTTTATCTCCAGCCAGCTGAGTTCTTTCGCTTTCCTGGCAGGAGCCACACAATCCTCCCACAAGGTTCCTAAACTCTCTCCACCCGGCCAGGTGCAGAATTGCAGTCTTCTACTAAAGCAGATGGTGAGAGCTCTCCATGGTGCTGCCTGCAGGGGCCTCAGGGGCCTCTTACGTTCTAAAAGCATTAAGGAGTCTGGCCCAGTGCTCAGAAAATATTTGTTGAATGAATGACATAACAAACAGCATGCATTTCATAAATGATATTAAACAAATAAATGAAATACGACCACCTCCATCCACCCCTAGAGCATTCACATATTCATTTATTCAAAGGTTTTATAGAAATCCTATATTACCATTTGAACACTTGGTCTTCTTCAGCTGGAGGGCTATTTTGGTAGTCCATGGAATCTTTAGGAAGTGAGGTCTAGCTGTCAGAAGTATGTCACTGGAAGTGGACCTGATATTCAGCACCTGGTTCCACCACAGGTGCCTATTGCCATGGACTGGTCTACTCCTCAATGCATAATGCTGATAATTCACTCTCTGCCAGAATGGGCTGAACGCCTCTGAACCTGTGAGCTAACATGACTCTCCCCCTTTTAAAAATGTTTCTGTTGGCTGTTGTGGTAACTAACACACCCTCTTCTTATAGAAGAGCAAACATATTTGCCTTCCTCCAGTATATTAAAAGACATTGCCTAGGTCTCAGGGAGGACCTTGTTAGGAGGCAGATTGATCCAAGGCTTTCTCAGAAGCCCTGGTGAGAGGATAAAGGGAGTGTTCATTCTGTGTCCTTGCCCAGGAGTGGACTAGGCAAGGTCTAGCCTGGAGGCTGGGGCAAGGGCCTTGAAGGAGTTAAGATTCAGTTTCTGGGAACCCAGCTTTCCTCACTGAAGGGCTGTGGTTATCAATCCCAAGGCAGCTGTGTCTGAGGTACCCCATGTTCTCTTTGCCAACATTATCTGATTTATCTCTCTGTTTACCTTGGCCCGTTCTACCCTTGCAACAGTAAATAAGATGTTGTACTTCTTAATAAGCTTGCTTGGCATAAGACATCAGCTTATGCAAGACCTCCCAGCCCCAGCTATCTGTCCTCTTCATTTCTCATCCCCATTCTCACCTTTGACACCTCACCATTGGGGACCCACATTCCTGTGAGTTTGGATCAGACCCTCAGAGAGCATCCTTATGATCTATAATGCTTGGAGTGTTTAACATTTTACAAGTGTCATAATGAAACACTTAAATGTCTGTTGCCAACAGATGTCACCAAGTTCGTCTGAGAGAGAAAATGGTCTTCCTACTTGGAAGGCGGAAGCTGGCAAGTGGTCTGTGATTCATGCTTAGCACAAGACCAGGCTTAAACAGCTGCACAGAGGAAATGGTAGCAACGTGTTCTACTGTTGATCGTGAGCTAGGGAGATGAAGAGCTAGAGAAGGGGCAGTGTGAAGGGATGGGTGAGAAAGGTAAGGAGTGCCCATGTTGGAAAGTCAGCCAATGGCTGGACAGTCTGCATAGGAGACTGCCCGAGAGGAAGTGATTTTCATTCCTCCCCGTTATCTCTTACCCAGAAGCCCCTGATATGATGTGACCATCAGACACCATGGAAAGGACTGTGTTCAACACCTGGATAATAACACCTATAAAACAGAAATAGCCCCACAGCAGGAGTCTGAAGACAGAGGAACATGAAAAATATGAGCCCTTGGGAACTTTCACAGGGAAAGCATCCATTCCCAGAGCCAATCTGAGGGATGGAGGCCATCCTACCTACATCTCACCCGGCAAGCAGACCCTGGCTTGCGTGAATCCCAGACACATCTTTATGTAGTTCTATTAGAGATGCACTCAAGAAACTGGTGTTGAAAGAAGTTTTGTTTTCATTATTTTATGAAGGTAGCCAGTGTTCCGAGAGCTCTGACTCTGATACAGCCCCCAACCTTGATGGTGCGACTTGTCTTAAAGAATGGCAGAGCTGTAAGTTTGCTCCTAATGCAGGGACTTAGATGGCCTTGATAAAACACCACCTCTCCACTTGGACCTGCAGATGCCCAGTGTGTAACTGAAAGCAGGGTGAGAGCTTGGCATCTCTGCCTTCCCTTTATGTCTGTCTCCTTTGGATCAGATTCCTGCTCAGCTCTAGGTAACCATGTTCACCACTTAAGGAGTATCTGCCAATACCCATAGCAACAGGTTAGCCCTGTATCTGACCTAGCTCATCCCCCTTTAGGACCGAAGGCATCAATACAAGTCTGATAAGGAAGTTACTGCCAACTTTTAAAACATCTTGTTCCAGATCCCTGGAATGGCACCTGAAAGTTCCCATTAATTGCCCTAAACCTGTGGTCTCCTTGGACTTCAGGGACAGTGACCTTGCTCAGAAACCAGCAGGAGCACGAGATGGCTAGCTTTGGGGAGGCTGGCGGGAGCTGCCACTGGGACCCACAGCCTCCTCTGCATGGCCACAGCTTGAGGGCTGGCAGTGCTGGAGCCATGTCCATTCCTTCTACTCTCCGGTTTTATTCAGGCCTGTGGCCTTCATGACTGTCCTCGTGGCCAGCTGCTTCCTCTCTTCTCACTGAGCACAGCCACTCAGGCGGTGGTTCTAGTGTACCGGACTTGCTCTTCAGACTGGAATGAACACCAAAGCAGCATCTACACAGATACTGGGCAAGGGTAAAGGCCAGGCCTGGGTCAGACACCAGATCATCAGGATTTCCCCCAGCAAGTAGAAGAACATCATAGGAGAAAAAAAAAAAGCCACTGGCCACCTCCACCTGCTCTAGCACCTTCTACCTTGGGAAAGTGTAGGTGGCCAACAGGAACCTTCCATCACCAGTGACCTGGGATTTGTCCTAGGTTCTTCCCAGGGTATAGCCAGGGTCAATGAGAAAATAGATGGCAGATATATGTAGAGAGTGAAAAGGTTCAGTTGCAGAGAAGAGCCGTCATATGCTTAAGTGCAGAAAATAACCCAGTATCTGGGGTGTGGCTTAGTGGGACAATGTTTACCTAGCATGCATGAGGTCCTGGGTTCAGTTTGTTGCACAAGAAAGAGAAGATGGGTAAAAAGAAATCAACAAAGGCCAAGAGTCACCAAGCTGGGTTCCAGATGATACACTGTTGGCTGAATGACAAGAAAGCCATGAGCAGATGTATCAGCAAGAGGATGTGCTGGCCCCACTCACAGGCATGGGGCAATGTCTCTTTGAGGCTGAATATGAAAGGAACCTGCGCTCGCTCGCGCTCTCTCTCTCTCTCTCTCTCTCTCTCTCTCTCTCTCTCTCTCTCTCTCTCCCTGAAAAGGGGTGGGGGGAGTAGCAAGAGAGAATTATCAAGTCAGAGGAAAAAATCTAAACAAGGGAGTTCACTTATCTCCAAAAATGAAAACTTTACTTGCAGGAATTTCAAGAAACCTGAGGAACAATGTCCTAAGCACCAAGATTTCTACTTAGATCTTTTCATATTGAGTCTCTGGGGATGGAAAAAACCTGAAGTATGATGCCTCTTTGCCTTATTAAAGACAGTCGACTAGCACTGCTTGGAGGTTTTCCTGTCTCCCTAGCTGTATGTCTGGGATGGAGGGACCTGGAGCTATCTTGCCCTTGGACTTATTACAACACACCTAATTGCCCCTTCACCAGGAGGCTTCATGTCACCTGATAACTTCTGAGCTTTGTAGATTTGGTCTTTGCTGGCAGACTGTTAGCTGCCACTCCTTGCTTCACCCAGAACCTGCTACCAGACTTAATCTATTAGATACCAGACCCATGCTCACTAGAGCTGAATGTAAGATTAAAGCAGAGGTCATGCATGGCTTACCTTCTGCAAAATGGGCTTTGAGATGTGGTTTACAGCATCTATTTCTGTGGCTCAAAACTCATTCTCCATCCATCACCCCAGTCCTTGGCTACTAGGGGCCAAGGGACCATTCTGGGAAGTAGTCAGGGCAAATGAGGTGAGTGTCAATGAAATAGCAACCATTCTCTCCCTTAGTGAGCTTTCAGGCTCTCCAGGGCTTTGTGAACTTTGTGGCTGAGTGTGGATTTCTAAGTTACCATGGGAACACCATCAGAGGGAGCAATAGGGTCCCGTCTGATCAGAATGAGCAGTTGAGGCAAATCTGAGTTCTACCAAACTGGTTCCAACTCAGGCCTTTTCCAAATGCAGAGAAAAAAAGATGCATATAAGAAAGGGGATGCTGTAGCGTTCATTGCTGAGGCATGACTTCTGGGTACCATCTTCCATGTTTGTTCCAGGCAACTGGGGTAAGTGGGCAGAAGCATGGGCTTGAGTCAGAAGGCCAGGCCCTCACCCAGGTGGACTCGCTGTGTAGCCCAGACTAGACTCAAACTCCTGGTCACCCTGCCTCTGATTCCTGAGTGCTGCAATCACATGCCCCCAGGATGATAAGCACCCAGTCATGGATGTTCTCAACACTACTCTGCAGTTTTGTGTCAGTGCCAGGGGCACAAAGACGAGCTTGGTTCCAAGCTTTCCCCTGGAGAAAACACAAACCATCCACTGGGGGTCTGGGGACACTTAGCTGAGTGCTCTGAGGATATCCTAATGGAAGTCAGTGCTAGTTGCCACAGAAGCACAGTGGGGAGAGTGTGTGTCCTACTCCACAGAGGGGATGTAGCAGGAGTCATAACCTGACATCATTTACAGAAGTGACCAGATAAGAACCAGCAGCAATGGGCCTCACTAAAGGTATTTTGAGATGCCAGTTCTCAGAATACACGGGGATCCCTCAAAAGAGTCTGAGTTATGGCAGTGGCAGAGGCAAATACAGGAATGGAATGAACTCAGGGGATATTTATGCTCGAATTGGGAACCAATAAAAAGAGTGTGAAGAAGGAAGATGTCTGGGCAGAGAGAACCCGGGTTCTCTGTGCTGGTACTGTGCCAAGGATTGCACAACACCATGTCACTTAATCCTGGAAACACCAATGACCTGAAGTTCTTGTCTCTTTTAGATGATAAATCAGAGCCTATAGGGGCTTCGGGGACTCCCCAAGATCACAAATCTACTGAATGGTGAAAGAGACTCTGAGTCCAGACGCTTCTACCTACATCAGTAGAGAACAGACAGGCTGAGACGTCTGAGATGCCGTGCAGAGGCAGATGCTCAGAAGGCCCCAATGGACATGCTTCTGATGTTCCTGGCGAGTGCTAGCCTGTAGGTGAGGACGGAAAGGATTGGTGGCTCTCAGGAGATGCGGTTTCAGCAGGAGTGCTGCTATTAAGAACGCCTTGAGGAAGAGTCACAGAGGATGAGTGATGGAGAACCTCCTGCAGAGAGACGTTGAGAGGCCGGGCCATATCAGGAGGAAACAGAGCAGGAAAGAACATGAGGACCGGAGCCAACCTCGTCCAATATTACATGACTGTCAGGCAGGCTGAGACCGAAGGCACAGTGCCTTCTTTGGCAATGGCTATCTATGCTGCTAACCTTCAGAATTCAATTTGACCTGTCTGTCCTTCCCTCCTTCCCCTCCTGCTCCTCTCCCTGGTGACTGGGAACCTGGTCTTGAGAGCTCTCCACACAGCGAGCTCCTGTGAGTGTTTGAGAAGGGCTTCTTCCTGCATCAGCGCACCCACGTGATGGTAAGTACCAGAAGGGCATCTTCAACCACCACGTAACCCCGGGAACAAGGGGCACGTGGGGATACATGGCTGTTGTTGACAGGATGCTCTGCAGCCTCTGCTTACCTCCCAGACTCAGCGATATCCAGGCTTGTTCCAAGCTTCTCTGAGTCTTGGGCAGAGATGCGGGAGCAGCAGCAGCATCAGAAGGTTCCAGAAGCCAGCCTGACCTTGAGCCTCCTCCCGTTCTGCCTGCCTAAGCACTGAGTCACCTACTTGTTGTTGCTGCTGCTGCTGCTGCTGCTGCTGCTGTTGCTGCTACCTTTCAAGTCTGGAAATGCATTCCAGCACAGAGGAAGACATCAGCTGCTTGGTTCATGGGGAACTGATGTCCTTAAACTAATTTAACTGGTAGTCTGCATTGTGTGATGGGAAGGGGCAGAGAGGTCCCAGAATCAATGTCCAGGTCTCTTTGGGATAAATGTTACACACACTGACTACAGCAGAAAGCATGTGGTCTGAAAGTCAGGAGACTGGGTGAGCCTCTAGCTGGCCATGTGCTGTGGGGCAAGTCACTCATGTTATCACTTAACATGGACCCTTTTCAGGTATCTCTCCTTGCTCTAAAATGTAGAGATGGCCTTAGTTCTCCTCCAGGGCAACGGTGCACCAGTAGAGATCAGGGCTGGAGAGAGGCGCCAGAGAGCAGAGGCTGCCTGCTGGGCCCCAGGTTTGGAGTGCAGTCTGAAGAGTGCTGCAGAGCCCTCCCTTGGAGGCTTGGCCATAAGCAAATAAGTGCCTGAGTCACTAAGCCTCAGCCCTTCACCTGTACCATTCCAGCCTGTTTACCTGAAGGGCCTTGTAGTGATGACGGGATACTGTGATGAAGGGAAAGTGGTCAGTGTAAGGCTACCACAGGAGAGCGCAATGACACGGCAGATTTAATAGTAAATACTATGTATAGCTTAGATCCACACATCACGAATGTCCCTCAGCAGTCACTGTAGAGACCCCACAAGTCCTTTCTAAGCCTCTGCTTGAAGAGATAAGGAAACTGACACTCTGAGGGACGAGAGGAACCTGCCTTGAAATTCATAGGCAAAAGTACCACTATAAGGCAGAAGGATGTCCTAACCCCCTCATGCATGGGCATAAGATGGATCTGGGTGTGCCACCCCCAGCTCCTGTGAGGGCTCTAGCTAGGGCAGGTTCTAAGCACCTTCAACTAGGGAGACCCTGATGTCTGGCCAGGCTGTTGCCCACCTGCAGTACACCTATTCCCTGGGCTTTGTTCCTGGCAGACACTCAGTCTGACCACTGAAGTCTCTTTTTTACTCTAGGTCTGTCGTCTTAAGTGAGACAGAAGGTCTTGGAAACCTTCTAGCTCTGACATTCCATAGTTTTAAGAAGTGGACTCAGTTAGGTGTGGACTTTGGCTGTAAACCTCAGTTAACTTGGATCATCCTCAGAACTCTTTCCTTGGCAGAAATAGCCAGAAAAGCCATAAGCACACCTGTTCTTGTATCGTGGCCCCTGGTTTACCAATGTGTGCTGCCCCATGTGCTTCTGCAGCTGCTTCATGACCTCACATCCCTGCAGACTAAGGTTTGGGGTCTCCTGGGAGGGCCTCAAAGTCAGTTGGGACTTAGCATCCAGACAGCGGGGTGTGGAATGAGCTCCAGCCACCTGCAGGCCAGAGCCCAGAGGAAGCAGGCTCAGAAAATAGTAAGAGGAAAGAGTTCCAGTTGGCCAGAAGCCTCAGGGCCAGCTCTCTCCTCAGCTGGGTCTGTTCTGGTACCTACAAAGTGAGGTCAGGTGGAGGGCCTGCATGGGGGTTTCTCATAGCTGCTCCTCAGAGTGGCATGCTGGGCTGAAGTGCAGATGTGGTCTGTCTGCCCCTCTGCAGAAGACAGAGATGACACTTCTGTCAGGGAGTCATCCCCAACCCAAACACAGACCAGACCAACAACAGGCTTTCTAGAAATGTCTAAAGGGAGGGAAGGAAGGAAGGAGGAGAGAGGAAGAGGGTGGGGAGGGAAAAAGACAAAGGAAGGGCATTCAGGTAAAGTCTTCCCCACACAATCCACAATTCCACAAGGCAATCCACCAACAGTGACCATGGGCACCACCACACTTTGGGTGGAAATACACAGGAGGAAGCAACTGGAAGAAATTTCAGATGTGGCTGGCATAAGGACCTCTCAGCCTAGGCACAGCTGGGTTCCCTAACCCCGGGCCTGGTGAATCCCTGTGTCTGAAGACACCAGGCATGCGACCTGTGTGTGCCACCTTCACAATAGAAACAGCAGGGGTGTTGGCGTTAAAGCCCCAGCTAGCTGCCATCCGCCAGGCTCACGTGACAAGGAGCATTCCAGCTGACGATTTCCTATTCAGGAACACAGTTTAACAAGATTCTGCAGTATTCAGGGACATAAAGAGGAACAGATCTTTATAAATAACTCCTGATTAAAATGGAGCTGAAAATAGGGAGACAGAACAGGAAGCAAATTGCTAAGCACTTATTGAGTCGATAACATCGGCTTGGAGATCTTAGTGCAAATGGCTGGTCTGGTTTATTTCCTTCCTGTCAAAGGTTAAATGCTGGAACCTAGAGGCACCAAGGCTGTGTGTGGCCAAGGACTGTTTAAAGGGGGCACGGCTCTCAGCTACTGGAGTCCTAGGTGATGCTAACACAGGCCTGGATTAGACATCCCTGAAGTCTTTTGAGTTCAGCCAGGTAGACCAGGACACTTGGCCACTGTTAGTTCCCTAGAAGGGCTAGCCTCTGCGCCCTGAGATTCTAGATGGTGATTCATGGCTGAGTCCTTGGTATGAAACTTGGGCAGCCAAATGTCCGAATGAGACCTGGACTGTGCTCTCTCCTGCTAAGCGAATGTCTCACCTGCTAGTCTCTTCTCAGCAGGGCCTGACTTCGCTGCAAGCCGGCCACCACAGTTCGTGTTCTCTGGGAAGTTGAAACTGAGTGGAAATGTGCTTGTGAGGCCCCTGACCTTGGAGAGTGGCTCAGCAAGTAAATGGAGGCACAGGATGGAGCCTCAGGGCAGAGCTGACTTTGCATGGGTTCTGTCCCTGACTCCCCCCCACCCCAGGCCCCAAACACAAACCCTAAATCCTTAGGGAGTAACAACGGCAAGGCCGGGGAACCCCGAAGGGAAGCGGAATGGGGGCTGAGACGCCCATAATGGGCCTGTCTGTCAGCCATAATTGCAGGTGCCTGTGTGCACATGGAGGATGCCCCGGCTATGCAGGTGAAGGAAGGTGAAGATCTCAGAGGGCATGGCATGGAAGCCGGGCTTGGGCTTGACGTTGTCGTAGTAGTGGTGCGTGATGTGGAAGCCAGAGGGGTTCATGGGGAAGGCCCAGAAGCCGAACAGATGCACCTCCTCACAGAGCTCCAGGGCCGCCGTGACCAGGATGAGGCCGGTGCTGATGCGCTTTGCGCGCACGCCCAGGCTGAGCCAGTAGCGGGACATGCTTGACAGGTACTGCGGGTGGAAGAAGTAGACCTGCTGCTGTGACCCGAAGTCATCCAGCAGGTACTTGACCCGGAAGGACACGAGGGTGTTGCGAACGTTGTAGAACGCAGGCAGCAGCACTGAGGCATTCTTGTACATCTGCAGCACTCTGAAGAAGGGCCGCCGCCACTTCTCCAGCTTGTGGAACCTGCAGGGTAGCAGAGTGAGCAGCAGCAAGCCCTGTGCATCATCTCAGCCCGTGTCCTCACTTCATCCCCCCACCCCTGCCCCCTCACCTCACACACACCCCCTCAACTCCCACCTTTCACTCCCCTCACCTCCCACCTTTCACCCTCTTCCCCTCCGGGCTCACAGCGCTGCCCAGCCTCCCCTCTTCTGCCTCCCTTTCCTACCTTTACATATCTATTGTTTGTTTGTTTGTTTATTCACGGAGGGGGCACGTGCCACAGAGCCTGCGTGTGGAGGTCAGAGGACAGCCTGCCAGAATTTGGTTCTCTCCTTCCATCATGTGGGCCCTTATTGTGCAATAATCTTTTTTGTAGACTGTGAAGAAGTATCACTCTGATTGGTTTTAATAAAAAACTTAATGGCCGATAGCTAGGCAGGATTTCCAGGCACAGAGGGTGCTGGGGCGAAGAAGGGCAGAGTCATGGGGAGGTGCAGAGGAAGCATGCCATGTAGGAGATGAAGTAACAGCCATGAGCCCCAGGACAGTACATAGATTAATAGAAATGGGTTAATTTAAGTTATAAGAGCTAGCTAAAAAACAAGCCTAAGCTATCAGCCCAGCTTCGTAATTAAAAATAAGTCTCCCTGTCATGATTTAGGAGCTGGCTGGCAGGACAGAGAAAGATTCACTACAAATGCTGCCCAACATGGGGCACATATTTCCACATAAGACCTAAGAAAGCTTAAAAAAGGTTCCAAACACACAAAAACAGAGCCAAACGCAGCTTCCTAGTCCTGCAGTCTCTCATGGGGGCCATGGTATAGAGACGCATCTTCCAGCGGCTGCCTGCCGGCTCCAGCCGCCAGGGCACCCTGAGCTAAGCTGTATGATGGTTTAAGTTTAGCTCATGCAGACAGAAAAGGTTACAGAATGCAGTAAAGCAGATCCAGACAGGAAAAATCCTCTAAACAAGTTACAGTGTGTTTAAAAAATGTGAGTAGGCTTAAAAAAGTAAAGAAAATGGGTATAGATGGTCATAGAAAAAATAGTTTATAAATAATATGATAAAGTCTTTAAAGAAAAAATAAAATAACAAAATGGACAGCCACGTAAAGATGAAAAATATACGGTCTGGATCCTGTATGGTGTTGTACTGACTTTAAGTTTTTTGATTGGTGATGGGCAAACAATAGCTGCTGAGAGACACTGGATTATAAAAACTACTAAATTAAACCAACTTATATATTTTTAAAATGTATTAACTTCAAAAATATTTTTTGAAGTAAAAAAATATGTTAAGTTGGGGAAGAGGTTATGCTTTTGTTTCCACATATGACAATAAAAGGCTATAGATCCACTCAAGATTGATAGAGATCACGTTTGATCAGGGGAGACTCCCTGAAAATCCTGGCTACAGACATAAAGAAATAAACCTAGAAAAACTACAAGACAGGTGGCGTCTGTTTTACCTGTTTGAACATAAAACGAAAAGTCATCTTTGGCTGGTTTGTGTACAACACACAGTCCAAACTTATGTTAATGCAGATATGTGTGTTATCTTTTGAAGTTTATGTGTTTTCAGAGCAAGGGGACCAGGCACCAATGAAAGCAGGTGGCCCTTTGATCCAGCCTCTCAGAGTGTCTCCATTGGAATTTCCTCAGTTCTGTAGCCAGAACAGCGTCAAGGCTGCTGGCTGAGATGGTCCAGCCTCACAGACTCTTTTAACCAGGACTGCAGATAAGCCTTGTGCTTTCCCATTGCACAGAGACTGGACAACAAATGTTATAACTAGTTTTCCCAGGACTTGACCATTATCTCAATTTTCTCAGGTTCCCTAAAGATGCTTTCATCCACAGACATCAGGAAGTAATCTAGAGGACACAACACCCATATTCCCAAGAGACGGGGTAGGTGGCTTTTGGTTATTCAATGGGTTATGGATGTTTGCTATTGTTTAGGGGGAATATAGAAATACAGGATAAAAAGACAACTATTAACCTCAAATATTTTACATTGGTATGGATTTGGGTATATTGATACAAATTTAAAGTTATTTTTGTTATACTGAATGTATGTTTCTACTCTTGTTTGGGGTATTGTGCTTATGCAGCTTATTTAAAAATGTAATGTATAATTTTAAAAATACAGGTTAGTAGTTAGTCATTCATAATAATCAAACTTGTAGTCATATTAGGTATATTTTCAAAGTAAAACAAGATATATTTTAAATAGATGGTCTTCAAACACTTCAAAGACCTACAGAATATGGCGTTTAAGATGTTTTAATAATATAAGGCTTTTCATGACAGTGAGACACATCTGCTCCTGTCAGCACCAATCTACTTCAGAAAAGGACAATGGGCATTGAAGAACCTCCAGTTGGAATTTACTTTCTTTGTGGCAAAAGCTAGCCATTTGGGCAAGAAACTGTCCTTACCTCAACTGCTGACAGTACACTGTCCAAACTTGACAAGAAGGACACATACACACACACACACACACACACACACACACACACACACACACACACACACAATTGTCAAACTAAGGCAAGACAAGGTAGGTCAGTTCTTCAAAATTCCTGCTTCACAGAAAAGTCTGTCAGATATTCTAGGACTGTAGGCTGAAGATGTATGCTCCAGTGTTGTAGCTCTGTAGAGGAACCTTGGGTAACTGTTCAGGCAGCCAGCAACCTCTGTCATTTTGGAAGTGGCTTGCTTTGCACTTCCTGTTTACTCAGGTAATATTATATCTTTCTGGGATCTTTGATGGATTGAAGACTAAATAGTTATAATTTTCCTTAGTTATAATAGAAGGTTAATTAGGTACCAAACTTTAGACTCCATCAAGAGAGGATAAATAATAGAGTATTTTCTCTAAATTTGCCAAATATAAATGGACTGGACATTGTAAATGTAATTCTTACTTGATAAATGTTCTTACTGTATATGGTTTCATTTGTTAAAGCTAATACTTTTCCCTTCCTATTTAGAAATACCTGATAATTGTTCTTATTGTATATAGTTTTACTATGTTAGAGTTAAAATCCTTCCTTTTTAATTTAGACAAAAGGGGGAAATGTTGTGGAATAATCTTTTTGTACACTGTGAAGAAGTGTCACTCTGCTTGGTTTAATAAAAAGCTAAATGGCCAATGGCTAGGCAGGATTTCCAGGCACAGAGGATGCTAGGAAGAAGAAGGGCAGAGTCAAGAGGAGACAAGGAGGAAGCATGACATGTAGAAGATGAGGTAACAAGCCATGAGCCTCAGGGCAGCACATAGATCAATAGAAATGGGTTAATTTAAGTTATAAGAGCTGGCTAAAAACAAGCCTAAGCTATCGGCCAAGCTTTCATAATTAATAATAAGTCTCTGTATAGTGATTCAGGAACTGGCTGGTGGGACAGAGAAAGACTCACTACAGGCCCTGGAGACTGAACTCAGGTTGTCAAAATGAGCACCAAGAGCTTTTACCCTCTGAGGCATTTCATGGCTCCCAGGAGTATGGCTTTTCTTGAAGATGGTATTTTTTTTTAAATGGGCATAAGGAAGGAGACGACATGGGCTGAATAACTAGTGTGGGGCTATGGGGAGACAGCAATGCTCAACTTAGAGGATCAGGGCAGACAAGGAAGGCATGGAGGCTGTGGCTGGGTAGTGGAGACTCACATCACTTCCCTGCTGTTTCCCCTAAGATTGGGAGTGACCATCTGACCCAGCCTTCTGGACTGACTAGGCCTCTCCTTGGTATCTTGGCTTCTGCCTACATGTCCTTTCCTGTGACCATCCATCCCTCTGCAGCAATCTCTGCTCTCTGAAGGCTCCTGGCTATTGGTATCTGATGTAATTTAGCAACTCCTCCTCTTTCCCGTCCCTCTTACCCACATTCTAGCCAGGCTAACTATGTGCAGCATTGGGGTTTCAACACACTAGCTCCTGCAGACCTCTCAGGCAGACCCACAGAGGGCAGCCAAGTGAGAACTGAGATCTTTGCATGATCACACCCCCATACCTGGACATGGCCTGCCCCCAACCCACCTGAAGTGTCCTTGATCACCTGTAGGTAATACCTGCTCTGACCTGCACTGCCCAAAAGAAACATGATGCAGGCCCCGTGTATGGAATTAACAAGAAATCAAGGAAGTTATTAAAAATAATTTTCATATTTCATTTAACCAAATATAAAAATACTATCATTTTAGCATGTGATTAATATAGAAATCAATAAGATATGTTAAGTCCCTTTGTATGTATTAAATCTTTGACACCCAATGAATACCTCATGTAGACAGTTGGCACATCTCAATCAGGACCAACCATGTTCCCAGTGCCCAATGGTTGTAGGTGACTGATGGCCACCAAAAAAGAGCACAGGTCTAGAAAAAGGACCACTGACCTGTCAATGATGATGCTGGGATTCACAGTGACTACATCTGTCTTCTCCCCCACATCTGTGGTATACTGCCCTGAGATGGGGGGCAGGTTGCACCTGCAGAGAGAAAGCCTCACATAGTTAGGTGGTCAGTTATCTTCAGGTGGCTGGGAATAGAGGAGGAAAGGATATGGTTACAGGTCAGAGAGAGGCCGAGGCCACCAGCTGGGCAGGATATCTATGGCCAGCTAAAGCAAAGGTCCTTCTGCCCTTTATCAGAAATATAAGAGCAAAAAAAACTCCAATCCTTGGTCTCACTGAAGTTACAACCATGGAGATGTTGGAACTATCACCGAAAATATGTCCTTGAAAGCTGTGGTCATCTCCGCATCTCTGGAATGGTATGGCATTGAGCAGGGAGATACAAGAGCATCCCCTTATCTGGGGACTCAGGGCTTCTCTGAAGAAGCAATGCTTGAGCTAAGGGCAGAAATTAGCAAAAGTCAACTGACAGAGGAACCAAATACCTGCATGACATTCAAAGACACACCAACACCCCTTGGAAATACAACTCTGAGGTACAAAGTTGCACAAGTGTATGCAGTGTGAACTGCAGAAGGCCCCTGAGGGTAGAAATGTGGAGTCACCAAGGCAACAACACTCTAACCTCTAAAACTGGGTAACATGTATCTTAATTGGCAGAAGGGGCACTATAGCTGGGAATACACTAAGGATCCTGAAATGGGAAGACAATTCTGGATTATGCAGGTGGGTCCAGGGAAATCACAAGAGCCATTACAAAGAAAATGTGATATGACAAGAAAGGTGTTTTAGTCTGCTAGTCAGGGTTCTCTAGAAGAATAGAACAGATAGATAGACAGATTGGATGGATGGATGGATGGATGGATGGATGGATGGATGGATGGATGGATGGATGGATGGACAGATGGATAGGTAGATAGATAGATAGATAGATAGATAGATAGATAGATAGATAGATAGATAGATAGATAGATAGATAGACAGATCTAAGAGAGAGCCCAAGAAACACTGTGGCAACTTCTTCATGTAACTATGTTTCTTGGAATCTTCTCAAATTAGCATAAATTCAGAACCAGTATCCCATAGACCCTAGACCCTAGAAAATCTAATTGTTTCTTTCCCTCTTGTAAAAGGCCATAGGTGCCTCTAGGGAAGGACAGGAGAAAGGCTAACATAAAACTCTTAGATATTTAATCAAGATCTCTCCTTAGGGGAACCTGGCTTTCCTTCATTCAAGAGCTTCTGGGTCTGCAAACTGGCTCACATCTGGAGATTGGCTCACATCTGGAGACTGGCTCACATCTGGAGACTGGTTCATGGGCCTAGATTGCCTTTTGCCATCAATGTAGCCTTTCTTTCATTTGTTTGAGAATATTTTCACTTATACAGATCAAACGGAAATGCAGTAGGCTTCTCATCTGTTTCATGTTTGGAAACACCATGGTTGATTAGCCAGTACCAAAGGCCCATAGGAGTCATTTCACCATAAAAATCACTTTGTGTGTGATGCCTGTTACAGGCTAAGCCACTGTGGACATTGTTTTGTGTGTGCTGCCCATGGAGATAACGAGGATCACCTTGCTTTTAGTGATTCAGTGCTGCCAGCTGCCCCTGCTACTTTGCAGCCCAGTCAGACCCACTGCATTAATGCAGCCAACTGAGCAGCAGCACCTGCAACCCTAAGGTCTTCTCACCGGTTTGCATCTCAGAGGATTAGTGAGGGGTGTGTCTTCTGGGCCTTCCCATTGTGGAGGATTAGGTTTTACACAGCAGACCCACTGTAGGATTCCAATTTCCCCGAGCCTTAAAATCCCTTCATCAACACTGAATCAAGGAATACCAGGTATCTCCAACTCCTTTTCAGTAGACCGTCTTTTGATAAATGCTTCAGCCAACCATTCAAACAAACTTTTCACACCTTTTTTTAACTACGCAAATTTCCATGTTAAACCTAGAATCTTCACTCACTGGGCCCATGTCAATAAACTCAGCCTGATTCACTTTTATGTTCCTTCTACCATTATCACACATCCTTAAAATTCATTTCGACACATTTCCCAGACGTCTGCTTGAATAAATTAGCAAATTCATTAAGTTCTTCAGTAGTAGGGCTTACCTCTTCATGGACCACACTTTCTATCTCCCTTCTAGGCCTGCTTAGCCTTAAGTCTGGTTATAGGTCTAAAGGCAACTTTTGGTGGGCCTGAGGTTCACCAGTATGGTCTTGCCTGGCATCTCCTTCAGGGAACGTCACTGCCAGTGTAGCAGACCAAGGAGGATTAATTTCCTCAGTCAAAGGTGGAAAAGGCAATATTTCAGGGGTTAGAGCTGGGAACACATCTTCCGCCGGAGGGTGGAGAGACTCCTTCCTCAGTTGAGATAAACCCTTGAGAATCTGAGGGTTCAAAGTTCTCAGTTTCAGGAAGGTTCTCTCACACATTTACATCCCAAGTTCCAGGACCCCATTCTTTATCAATTAATGTCATTCCTTTAACCACTGACACCTTCAGAAGAGGGTACTTGAGTTTTCTCTGTAATGTAGCCAACCTTATAATGAGGGCTTCAGATTGATTTTCCACAACTTGAGCTCTGCGGCTGCTAGAGAGAAGATTCTCTACCATGGCACACTTGGAACCTTTAGACTATTTATGTGCATCCAGACCCCGTCAATTTCATTAGCATAATTGTTGTCCTTCCCATATTCTGAGATAGTACAAGTTGGTTAATTTTATCACAGAGCTCATTCTTTTCCTTTGTCAGTTCATCCAGAGGTGCTGGGGCAACTACCCAGCATCATCCTCGTCCTTTTTTTCCAAAAATTTGTCAAAAGTTTTACATACAGAGTCACCAAATCTGTTGTCTCTCACAATTGATGAATCAGGATAATCAAATACATGTCTCCTTAAGTTTATAAAATAAACTTTTTTAAAAGTTTTTTTTTAAAAGTTCACACCATGGGCTTTCAGTACTCCCCAAGCTTCTAGAAGAGGCTTCAGCAACTGTGGGTGTTGGCAAATTGGAAAACCTATTCTAGATAGTTAAAATTTTCATCCTTGTGTATCTGTTGCTCTAGAACCCCTTCTGGTACCAAAATCTGTATTAGTCAGGTTCATATACATATCTATGGGAGTCACATACAAGTTTATGGAATTTATTAGAATGGCTTACAGGCTGTGGTCCAGCTAGTCCAGCAATGGCTGTCTACCAAAGGAAGGTCCAAGAATCCAGTAGTTGTTCAGTCCATGAGGCTGATGTCTCGGCTGCTCTTCAGTCTACACCAGAATCCCCAAGAAGTAGGCTCTAATACCAGTGAAGGAATGGACTTTCCAGCAAATAAGGAGAGCGAGCTTCCTTCTTCCTTGTCCTTTGAAAGGCCGCCAGCAGAAGGTGTGGCCCAGACTGAAGTTGAATCTTCCCGTCTCAAAAGATCCTTATGAAAAGTGGGTCTTCCCGCTTCAAATGATTTCATTAAGAAAAAAAAAAATTTCTCACAGGTACTCAGTTGCTTGGGTTTTAACTAATTCCAGATGAAATCAAGTTGACAACCAAGAATAGACATCCCCAAAGGAGAGAGGAAGTATGTAAAGTGGGTGTGGTGGCACAGGATGGTAATCCCAGTACACGGGAGGCTGGGCAACAAGATGGCAGTTTGAAGCCATCCTGGGCTACTCAGTGAGTACTTGTTTCAAAAACAGGAAGGAAGAGAGGGAGGAAGGAAAGATGGGGGGTAGGGCCGACAATAGAACCAGAGAGAGAGAGAGAGAGAGCAGGAGATGCTGCCATGCTGGTGTGAGCCAAGGATGCAGGCAGTGCCTAAAGCTGGAAAAGCCATCAGCCTCTCACCTAGAGCGTTCAGGAAGAGACAGGGTCCCACTGCCACCTTAACCGTATCCCACCGAGACACCTCATCCCCAGAGTGGAAGACCATAAACCCTGTCTGTTCGAGCCACTGGCTTCCTGGTAATTTGTCATAGTAGCAGGAAGAAATCCCTACAGCCCCAAATAAGGCAAACTGAACAACAGAGTGTCTATGGTTCCAGTCCCCATAAGACAGACAACCTGAGAGGTGTCAAATGTCCCCTGAGAGTGACACCAAGTTCTTTAGGAGCCTGGAGAAGGGTGTAGGTGGTGGAAGAGCAGCCAATTGCTCTTAACTGGTGAGCCATCTCTCCAGCCCTGGAAGCTTTCATTTTCAATTCATTCTCTCTGCCTGGGCTAACGAGGAAAGTAAGGATCCCCACATGAAAAGAGGGGCATGCCTCATAAGAACGGAGAAATGCAAAGACCCCTCGCTGGCTCATTTAGAGCCCGGCTGAAGTCACAGGCATCCCTCCTTCCACCGGTGTTTGCAGGGGGGCAACCCATGTAGGGAGTGGGGACTTTGGGTTCACTGTCCGCTCTACAGGGATGTTAGTTTTAGGGTCTCCCATCCAGAACGCCCTTAGCCTTTCGCACACCCCATTCTCCATTTTGTTTTTTATTTTATTTATTTATTTATTTATTTATTTATTTATTTATTTATTTATTTATTGGTTTTTCGAGACAGGGTTTCTCTGTGTAGCTTTGCGCCTTTCCTGGAACTCACTTGGTAGCCCAGGTTGGCCTCGAACTCACAGAGATCCGCCTGGCTCTGCCTCCCAAGTGCTGGGATTAAAGGCGTGCGCCACCACCGCCCGGCTTCCATTTTGAAAAGTAAAAACTGGGACCCCAGAGTCCAACAACCTGTTTAAAGGAATAGGGCTACAGGCATAAGAGGTCCCTGAATCACGAAAGTGTGCTTAAGGTGGCAGCAGAGCACAGGGATGGGGCCAATGAGGGGGAAGGGCTCAGAGAGGAGGGCCATGGAGGCAGCAGATGCACCTCCAGGCAGCTCCCTTACCGGAAGACGAAGTCGGCACTGTTGATCTCCTTCCCGCAGCCGCTGTTCTTCAAGATGCCTCCGTTGCCCACCACAGCACACTTCTTAAACTGAGATCGGTAGTAGGGCATTTCCTGGAGAGGTACATGCACGGTGTCACAGCCCACGCCACCCCACCTTCACCTGAGGCTTCACCTCTGCCCCCAAAATATCCCCTCTATGAGCTCGACCCAAGGAGGCAGCCTTGTCCTGAAGGTGAGAGAAGAGGGAACCCAACTTACTGATGAGGAGGGGGAAGAAGAGACTTGCTGCACTGGGTGACTCCTCCCATTTCTGACACAAGGAGTCTGCAGGCCTGCTTTGCCCCCAGCACCCACCAGTCAACCAACTGCTGAGGGTCCCACACTGCATCAGGAATTGGGCTCAATCAAAAGCAGCTGTCATGGCCCTCTGCGGCACACTTGAGTCTGTGACCCACTTCCCCTGTGGGGACAGGTCCGGGGTGCCAGGACAGGGAGAACACGTCAGTCTCAAAGGCAATAGGGGGAGAAACAGAATGAGCCACAGTAGTCCTAGGCAAAGTCATTGGGGGTTTCTTGTGTTGACCACAAGCGTGTCCTAAACGTGCAAATCAAGAACTATTTGGAAACAGCCATTTCTAGACTCCATCTAATGGGCATAGAATCAGAATCTCTGGGTGGGCGAGAAGCTGGAATGCTGACCCTTTAAAGCCCCAGAGACACCACTAGCTAAGGAAAGCTGCTGTGAGCCATGACTCAGGGGCTGGAAAACCATGGCCATGGGCCACATCTGGTCTACCACCTTTTTTTGTATGGCCAGCAAGCTGAGACTAACATTTGTATTTTTAAATGGTCAGAAGCCACTCAAATAAGACGTGTGACTTGTGAACATTACATAAACTTTCTGATGTCTGTACCACTGAGACAAAGCCTCCTTCTTTAGTTTACTCATGATCATGACCATTTTCATGAGGGGACCACAGTGGCAAGTGGTGGTGGTGGTGATGATGATGACAAGGCTGTTTACTCTCTGGTCGTTCCCAGAGAAAGGTGCAGAGACCCTGTTGTGTCTCCTGACCTCAGCAATTCACACCCTGGCTCTCCAAGGACCCACAGGCCAGCCCAGACTATGTCACATGCTGCTGTGACCTGCTTAAGAGGAAAGCTTATCCACCGCCCACCTCGAACGCTCACTCAGGGAAGGCGGTTCAACACCAGCACTGTGCTGTGCCTTTGGCTCATTCCCTGAGACCAAATCTTGCCAGATCATTCTGGTATCAGTAATGGGACATACATAGAGATTCTGGTTTTATCTTGTTAGCACCTCCCCTGACCCGCCAAAACATGCAGGGCATCCTGGAACTCGCCTTCCAGAACATCGCCATGAACACACCCTTGCCACCTGCCTCTCTGCCGAAGCCATACCACCCCAACACCACAGAACCATTCGAACCAGCCACAAGCACAATTTCTGTATCTTTTTTTTTCCCCCAGAGTCCAGAGCTTAGAGCTGTGCCAGCTGTCAGCTCAGTGATATGAATGGGTCATGGATGTGGACCCCCCTCACCCTGTAGCCCATGGGCAAGGAACTACTATTGCTATCACTGACCAGCCCCACCTTCATACAACATCTCTGATATTGTAGATATCTGATATGGTATAAAAGCAACCAAAGCTATGACTGCTCTGAATCCCAGGGTCATAGATAGAGACCGAGACCCTAAAGGGAGAAAAAGATCACCCGAGTGCTACACTAACAACTGGCCAGGCAAGACGAGCCCACTGGAATAGTAGTGGCAAGTCTGTTGTGGAGACAGCTAACCATGTTCTAACTGGAACTGGGTCCCACAGCACGGAAGAGAATTCGCATCTGATACTACAACCTGGTCAAAACCTCATGGCTGGGGAGGTCTTTAAGGCCCAGTGAGGAATCTGTAGCTGTTGACATACTACATGGACATGATGTGCCCATCAAATAGCTGTCTAAGAATTCCATGTGTCCCTAAGTGTCACTGCCAGCTTTGTTCAGAGAGATTCCTTTTGCAGCGGGCAGTGTGTGTCATCGCAGATACTAATAACTAGACAAAGTGCTGAGAATAAGCCATCATTTATGGCCAACCATAAATGGGACATCCATATCACCTTCTCCAAATCTCAGGGAACATTGTAGAAAGGAGAAAGGGCACTGTGGAAGAGCCACAGGACAGGGTGGAGAGTGGCAGAATGCTGTCTTCTGGGCATCTGGTCAAGGCTTGATGGTGGCACTCTTGAATTTGCAGTAGCTGTGATTATCACACGAGACTGGACCAGTCAACATGCTGTTATGGAATGCGGGTGGACTTATGAGCCCCAGCCCTCCCTGAGGATCTACAGGTAGTTAATGGTTGCTAGGGAGGGAGAGACATTTTCTTCAGCAGTGTGCTCATGGGAAAATTGCCCATGCTCCTGTATGCAACCCCAATAAAACCCATTGAATTAGCCGGGCGGTGGTGGCACACGCCTTTAATCCCAGCACTCGGGAGGCAGAGGCAGGCGGATCTCTGTGAGTTCGAGGCCAGCCTGGTCTACAAAGCGAGTTCCAGGAAGGGCACAAAGCTACACAGAGAAACCCTGTCTCGAAACAAACAAACAAACAAACAAACAAACAAACAAAAAGCCCATTGAATTACTGAAGGAAAAAGGATGAGAGGAGACTGATTGGGAACGGAGGGGCATGGGAGGGAACAAGAGAAGGTGGCGGTGGAAGCGGCAGGAATGTGGTCAAAGTACATCATAGCCATGGATGAAAATGGCATAATAAAACCAATCATTATGTATAACCAATAAATGCTAAGAAAAGGCGTTCTTGCACAATGACCCCAAGGTTATCTGATGTGGCCGACATTCAGGCCTGGCTCTGTGCTGGGCCTGCTTTCTGGTGCTCGCATGCTTCCAGTGTGTTTTTCTCTTGTGCCTGACTCGGGATCAAGCTACAGTTCATCCCTCTTCTAGAGAGCTGTGGAATGTCCTCAGCACGAATTTTAGAATTTTAATTAGGCAGAACTTTAACCTCTTTTTGCCCCAAATCATACACCCATAGCTAGTTGGCATTGACCACCAACTCCCTCCCAGGCCACCATGTTGGGGGCGCACCTTGGGAAACATTTGGAAGATCTCCTGATTGATGTGATAGAAGCCACTGGACTCCACCTCGTACCTGAGATTCGTCTCAATTGGAGTGTTCTTCTGGGTGGTGAAGAGAAAGCCAGGGGCGTTGCAGCACCTGGACAAGGTGGACCTGCTAGGCATGAAGACAGGGTGATACTTGGCAGAGCTTAGGGGGGCCCCTTGCTTTCCATCCCATTCCCATACTCACTTCCTCCCCACCCCCTCAGCATCCCCCCTGCACCTGGGCCTCTCTGTCTCTCTAGGACCCAGGTTAGCTGCCTATGGGAAGACTCTGGCTGCCATACTTCCTTGATGGCTCCTGTCTTTGAAGGCTCTGGCACAGACTAATCACATGCTGATCACCTGCAGTTAGTTCTTGCCGCAGCTGCAGCAGCAGCCTGCCTCGCTGCCAAGGCAGTGACGTCATCACCTGTCGCCAGGTGCCTTTCCACCACTAGCTGTGTGACATGTGCGCCCCTTAAAAGTGTCCAGGCACAGCTTGATCTCTTGCCTCTCTTCTTCCTTGTCTCTCCCCTGTCCTCTCTCTGTCTGCCGGCCTCTCTCATGTCCCCACTCCAACACAGTCTTTCACTCTCTCCCTCCCACCTCCCCCAATAAACCTTTTGCACTAACTCCCTTGTGCATGGCATGTTTACTTAGTGGCACACCTTGGCAGGGCCCGCTGAAAGCTACCCTCTTCACCTTGCTTTTGTTTTTTTATCATTACACCTGCCTTCTCAGGCTGGGAGGAAAGCCGGATACCAGGTCCTATACCTCTCTTAACCTCACCTAGCTCTGAGCACAGACTTGTACAAACCACCCTGTGACAGTCACACCAGCCAGGCCTTGACCAATGCCCGCTCAGTGACAGCAAGGCCCCCCCCTCAGAGTTCACTGCTCTGGGACATGCTCTTCGCCCCCCTCCCCTCCACTCATCCATCAGCCTGAAGCCAGAGCTCTTTACGGTCTCAGCCCCCATGGCCAACACTCAACAAAGATCTCCCCTTATCACCCAAAACCAAGGCCTGTGTGGTCACCCAAAGTGTCACGTCAGACAGTCAGAAGCTGGCTTAGAGAAAGGGCGGGGCCAGAACGGGGACACTGGGTTGGTGCCAGAGCCTTCCTCAGAAAGTGGGACATGGCTCCTGAAAGATGTTTCAGGAATTCAGTATAGAAAGAATAGAGGGAGGGAGGGAGGGAAGGAGGGAGGGAGGGAGGGAGGGAGGGAGGAAGGGAGGAAGGGAGGAAGGAAGGAGAAAAAGTCCCGACATTTTTGTCTCAGAAACACTCAAAGCTGAGCTGAAGATGAGTTAAAGCTCAGACACCAGATTTAAAATAATATAAAATATAAAATAAAAAGCCCGAGGGAAATGGGGCTGTTGAAGCAACCTGTTTTTCTCTCTTCTTCAGGACTTTCCAAGAATGCTCTTGAAAGGGTTAACTCCTGGGCAACCTTGCCCCTGCTTGGAAACTTAATGGGCTCTGCCTATGGCTGTGGGCACAGATCACTGCCTCCTTGAGTTAGACTGGAGTACATACAGCTCCAGGCTCAATCACCTGCAGTGTCCAGGGAGCCCTGGGAGAATGGACCTCCTCCACAGAGCCCTGTGATGACCCCCCACAAAGCCCTGTAATCTCTCTCTGTCTCTCTCTGTCTCTCTCTGTTTCTCCCTCTCTCTCTCTCTCTCTCTCTCTTTCTCTCTCTCTCTCTCTCTCACACACACACACACACACACACACACACACACACACACACACACACACTCATACGCCATCTTCCCTCACACACACAGCTCCAGGCCCAATGCCCCCAGGGTCCAGGTGGCTCCTGTAATGACCACTGGCAGGTCTAGGAGGAGGTCTGGAGTGTTCTCATGAGCTCTGAGGTGGAAATATGAGTTGGCACTTAGCATCCAGAGGCCTGGACTCTGTTTTCTTCTCTGTGGCCTGCAGCTGTGGGCCCCAGGCAAGTGTCTTTCTATTCTAGGCCTCAGTTTCTTCATGTATAAAATGCAGGGGTGGCCCTTCTGTTTCTGACCCTCTATAATTCTGTGACTCCAGCTTGTCCGAGCCAAAAGGTTAAATGTAAAGGTTAAATGACCTTTTTTATGATTTCACATCTTGCTGAGAAATCTTTACTGGGAAACCAGCTTGCTGCTAGTCATGGAGTAGCCTATCTGTGGAGAATTGGATTTTAGAATGTGACTAAGGCTTCCAAAGAAAGGCTGAAGCCTGGCACTTGAGGAGCCACAGGTCAGCATTACAAACCGTCGTCTGGACCCTTCAGCTTTGTAAATGCAGAAACAGTCTTGTCTGCCAACTGGAGAACACCCCCATGTGAAACAAGCTGTCACGCGCCTAATGTGTGAACCAGGATGGCAAGTTTGCAGACAGCAGGATGGAGGACGGCTCTCCTGTACCTGAACGCCAGCACCTCACTCCTGCACTGCACCAGGTGCCCGCCAACCTGGATGGAGGAGCATTCCACTTTCCGGAAGTTTGAAGTGAGAGCAAATGGAGGCAACTGATGGTCCTAAGGCCTTTCTGTTCGGAACACAACAAGGTCTGATGACACCTTCTTTCCCCACACCTAAGTCCACTCCACATCCTTAACCTGAGGGTCTATGCTCCCCACAGGGCTCTCTGCTCCCGATAAGCTCTCCCCCACAGCCTCACCTCACAGAGCTGGCTCACAAACGGAGCTCTGCATTTCTATTGATTTATCTCGTCCTGTCATGTTAGCATTGTTTTTGATGGGAGTCCCCCCTGTGAGACCTCTGTCCCAACTCAGCCTGACTCACATCCTTGCACACCTCACTGGCTCATTCTGCCCATGCTATTGATCAGCATCCATGTGTTCAAGCCTTTCCTGCCCTGGGGACATCTAGAGGGAAGAGCATAAAGGCATACATCAGGGGAGTAGATCCTGGGTCTGTTTGGCATGCTCTGACCCTTTGCCCAGACCCACTAGAACTTTCAGGGCAGGTGGATCTCCTCAGACCAGGGCTGGAATTCTGCAGCTTCCTTGAGGCTTCTGATACCTGCTCACTGGGGCTCATTAGATCAAATAGTTATATTTCTAAAAGCGTGCGGCTTTGTACTCCTATCCCTACACACCTGTAACCTCAGCACTTGGGAGTGAGAGGCAGGATTAGGAGTTTGAAGCCAGTGTAGGCTGCACAGTTAGACCCTGTCCAGACAGAGAAAAGACAGGAAGGTAAGAGGAGGTAAGAGGAGAAGGCAGGAGAAGAGAAGGGAGGCGGGGAGAAGAAGAGAGCAAACTTCCTGGCCTGGAATCACCACAGACTGAAGAAAGTCTTGATAAAGAAAGTACAGATGCTTGGTGACGCCCACTCTCGACAGCCTCCTCTACAGGGTTCCTTCATGTCAGTAGCTCCTCAGGACATTTCAACTTGAGCCTGAGTGGCTGAAACCCAGTGTAGACACCAGTCACCAGAGCCACGTCAATTTCCTAGTGTAAGGTCTACCCTGGAATGACACCTCAAGCTGGCAGCAGGCTAGCAGTGGAGAAAACTCCACAGCTCATCATTAACCAACAAGCAGTTATGGATGTCTCTCATCTGTTTGGTTCCCATGAGAGCCTGGAAATACAGCTACTGCCCCTTCCGGAGCTTACTATCTGTTCATTGTGGTCAGAGAGCAATTTAAAAAGTCAACGGCCAGGCTCAGAATCAGGCAGAAGCATGATGGACACGGGACCTCCAAGAAGGTGGGTAGAGCCACTGTCCCAGGATGGGGAGGTGGGGCAGGGAGACTATAAGGGCTATGGAGAGATCTTAAGTGAGTACCTCCCTCCTAGGAGCCTTAGTGTACACCAGCCTGAGCTAGACGTGACAGCCCCAACCTTGTAAGGCTGCGCACGGCAAGGACCACAGCAAAGCATGGGGGCCACGGGCTGAGCGGGTGCCGGCCTTGCTCATATTCCTAAGGCCCTGGGGGCCAGCTCCAGGCGGATGCCCACTGAGAACCAGGTGTTACAGATGATGGATATTTGAAGAGGTGGCAGTGGGGACCCAGGCCACGAGGTAGGCGGGCAGACGACAATGCATACTTGAACAGGTTGGCTTCAGAGGTGTCCATTGCCCACTTGCATATCTGGAGACTCTTCCACCTGTCAAACAGCTCAGACTGCTTCACCCTGTGGGAGCAGCAGCGGGCGGAGATGAGAAGGTCAGGTCGCACCATGTGTCGGCCCTGTTTCCAAAGGCCCTCCCCTCCCCCGCCCCTGTACGCCATATCAGCGGCCGGTAGGCTGCTTTCCTTATCCTTGATTCGAGGTTCATTCCTGAGGGAAGCGCAGAAACCCAAGAGCTGCCCTTCGTGTGCAAACTGTGCAGAGCCAGCCATCCCTTAGCTAGCCACTGTCCCCTACCTTAATCTTGCCTGGATTAGGCATCAGACCTGAGCCCTAGAGCCAGCCCAAATTATTCAAGCTAGCTGATCCTAAGCCTACCTCCCAAAGACCTCAAAGACCTCACCCAGGCTTGCCCCTCACTCTTGCCTCTGGTGGGCATGGAACTCCACCCTACCCCACCTGGTGTGGCCATGCACAGGTGCTGTGTTTTCCTGTTTCTAGGAATCTCCCGTGTCCAGCTGTGGCAGTGCACACCTCTAACCCCAAAGCTCAGGAGACTAAGGCAGGAAGACTATGCATTCAAAGCCAGCCTGAGCTACACAATGAGTTTGAGGCCAGCCTGCACTACAAAATGAGACCCTGTAACAACAACAAAAAAAAAAAAAAACCCCACACTCCCACACACACTCACTAAAAACCTACACTCTTAGTCACTCCACATCTTAACTACTCTCACCTCCAGCAAGTAGACCTTTCCTATGTGCTTCTCCTCAAAGGCTGGCACCATCCTCTTAGAAACCACAGTCTATAAATGAAACAAGACCGCTTCCAATCAGACATCTGCCCAAACCATGCACTGCGCACAGCACAGGCTCATGACCATGGCACCCCCTTTTCAAGTGTAGGTCAGGAGGAAAAGAGAGACGAGCCTCTCTGAACACCTCCAGGCCTTACGATGCTGGCTGTTCCCAAGCACCCTCAGGGAAGGGAACAACGTCTAAATAGATGGGATTCTCCCTTACACTGAAACCCACAAGAGAATTAGTATGTAAATTATAAATTTATTGGTGCACATTTATAATAGTACATTCTGATGAAGTTTCGGTACTGGCAAATGTAGATACTTGATAAATGTGGTTGGTTTGTTGAATGAATGAATGAATAAATAAATAAACCAAATCAAAACCAAAAGTGATGGAACTGAGCGTTATGGTTACACATGCTTGCTACCTCAGCACTTGGAAGGCTGTTATAAGGGGACTTCAGGTTTGAGGCCAAATTGGGCTACATAGCAAGATCCTGTCTCAAAAAGACTAAAGAAGGAAATCCTATGGAACCTGAGGGCTGCTTCTGTGGAGAAACGTTCTGTGTGTGTGTGTGTGTGTGTGTGTGTGTGTGTGTGTGTGTGTGTGTGTGTGTGCGTGTGTGTGCGTGTGTGTGCGTGTGTGCGTGTGCGTATGCGTGTGCGTGTGTGTGTGTGTGTGTGTCCATTAGAGGATAACCTGGGCATTATTCCATCATTCTTGGGTGCTATGTATCTTTTGTGTGTGCATATGAGACAGGGTCTCCATTGACCTAGAACTCATTGATTAGGCTAGCACAGCCGCCAGCAAACTCCAGGGACACTCTGTCTCTGCCTCTGCGGCACTGGGATCGCAAATGTGCACCACCAAACCTGGCTCTTTAAATGCCCGCGCCCCCTCCTCGTGCTGCAAGGCAGGCACTTCGCTGACTGAGCCATTCCTCAGCCCTGACATCAGGTCTTAGAGCGTCAAGTTTTATAATATTCTGTCCCAGACTCCCTTGAGACAGCATCTAGAAGTTGCCAGTCACTACCTTAAATCTGCAATCACCTTGATTCCAGAAACAGCAGAGCCTTGGAGGCGAATCTCCTTAGGAGGGGAACAGGGGCTGTCCCCCTAAACAGCATCAATCATCTGAAAGACCCCAGGCTGCTCCCACAATCCATGACAAGCAGGGCCAGAACTGAGGGCATGATCAGACTGCTTAATCATGCAAACCTCGCGACTGACCTCAGCTCTTCCTCTGTTTAAACCCATGTCAGAGCTCCAAAGATCTGCTGAGATGCTGATGTCTTCCATTTCCCCAGTACAATTAACCTGGGCCATATTTATCAAACTCCCTTCCTGTCTTTCCAATATTACTTTGCTGGATTTTGGGGGGAAATGGTTGGGCCCAATCTGTTGGGAGCCCCTCCCCCAAGTCAGGGCCACATCCTGGGATGTCAGTACCACTTGTATGCACGTTCTGGTTAGTTTCTGTCAAGTTGACACAAGTTAGGATCATCTGGGAAGGGGGAACCTCGATTGAGAAAACGCCTCCCTCAGACTGACATGTAGGCAAGTCTGTGAGGTATTCTCTTGATTGGTGACTGATGTGGGAGGGCCCAGCTCACTGTGGGTGGGGCCACTCCGGGCCGGCAGTACTGGATGGTATCAGAAAGTGGGCTGAGCAAGCCATGGAGAGCAAGCAGGTAAGCAGCACTCCTCCAAGGCCTCTGCATCAGCTCCTGCCTCCGGGTTCCTGCCTTGCTTTCCCACAAGAGCAAACCGTTACCTGGAACTGTAAGATGAAGTGACCCCTCTCCTCCCCACGCGGCTTCTGTCCAGTCTTTATCACAGCAATCGGCGATAAAGTAGGGCGATGCGCCAACACCAGCCGTCACCACCTCCTTTCTCACCTCTCCTTTTCAGACAGGGTCTAACCTCGAACGCCACACACTGCTCCAAGCCCTCCGTCCCACCCACATGCTTCCGTGTCTCTACCACCTTCCGCTCTTCTTAGTTATGTCTTCCCATTGCAGTCAAGATGTTCCCCATTCCCAGGCTGTGCCACTGGGGACAAGTCACTCCCGAGTTCCTGTGTCTGCCTGCACGTGTGGAGTGAGCTATCCCAGCCCTTGTCACCTAAGAGACTCTCCTTATTGTCACCAGGTGGTCACATTTCCTCATAGTGTTAGCTGTGGGGTGTTTACCCACCAACCCCACAGCTCCCCAGAGTTTTCTTGAGTGAGAGCAGCAGGAAATATTAGATAGAAGGATTTAGAATGTGGAGATAAACAGATAGAAAATACAGGATAGCCTCGAGAGGGCCTGGAACCTATTCCAACGAGCCCTAACTGTCTGTGCCCTAAGGTATTTATAGAAATGCCAAGGGGTAGAGCAAAAGACCTCCCCCCAGCACAGCCAAGTGCAGACCATCTCAGACACCTGCCCTCAGGCCTGTGATCCAATCATCCCTCTTTATTCAGACCTGCTGGGTAAAGCCACTAGGAACCTGAAAATTGGCTCCCACAGTTAGCCCTTTGTGAGTGGGACACCAAAGCAGATCAAAGAAGAAAATATGTACAAGGGCACCTGCTTCCCAAAGTGTGTCCCATGAAGCTCTAGCACAGTTTAAATTTTTTTTTAAACCCAAATGTATTTATGGCCAAATGTATTTGGAAAAGCTAAGTTAAAGTCTAGTACTTCCTTTTACTCTGAGAATTCTCAGCTCATTTAATATGTTCTCCTATATTGTTTCTTTCCAAGAAGGGAATATTGCACACAGAGATACTGGACCGTGGGAGCCTTATTTCTGCTGAAATCCACAAGCCCTGGGAACACAGGACAGAGTGTACATTGCACTCTGGCACAGGCATGACCATGACTTCTCTTTCCTAGGGTAAGCAATGCGCCTCTGCTCAGTGTCCTGGCTGGGGGCCTTTAGTTACCCACAGGCCCAGGGCTCTTAGAGGGTCCCTTAAGGGGGTTGCTCCAGCTCCACCATGGGTGGGAAGTGACTAGCCCCTAGGAGCAGAAGGTTCACCTCTTCCTTTAATCGGAACTAGTAACATTTGTCCCCAAACATGGCCAACCACTCACTGCCTATGGGGAGGACACATGGCAGATGGAGGAAGGGGTAAATACAGGACAAATAGATGACGGAATCCAAGGAATTTGGTCTGAGGTGAACATCAGACACTTCCTAACCACAGGATGCTGTACCAGGTATTAACTCTCTGAGCCTCAGTTTTCTCACCCATGAAATGGGCTTCATAGATTTTTTTAAATAATTTATTTTTATTTTAGGTGTATGAGTATTTTGCCTACATATATGTATATGCACTGCATGCTGGCATGGCCAGAAGAGGGCGCTGGAATTCTTGGAACTGGAGTTAAGGACCATTGTAAGCCTCCGGGTGGATGCTGGTAACTAAAACCAGGTCCTCTCTGCAAGAGCAGCCAGTGCTCTTAACCATCTCTCCAGCCCCTTGTAGACTGTAAAAGTTATTAAATAAGAAAACACAATCACAAACTGGGCAGGTGCATGGCACACAGGAAGTGGGCCTAGGTTGTTCTTGTTGAAGCTATTTGACTAGGCTCTCTCCTAGCCCCTGTACTTTTTGTAAAGCCCACACACTCTCTTTCTACACCCTTGATCTTTCTCCCGATATGATCAATACCACAGGGCAGGAATCAGCCTGAGTTCCTCCCTAACTCTGCACTGAGATACACAGCAGGTCTTGGAAAGAATGTGTTGAGTATAGTAACAGACTAACGAATTCCCTGTCGAGTCTGAGTTCAAATCCACTCTACTCATCGAACACCTCTACATGGCCAGACATACAAATACAGTAGTAAGCACAGCATCTCCCTCCTTGTATGGAGATTCCAGAACAACAACAAAGACATGTTGGAAAAAAATATAGACTGCCTTGTCTGGGAACGGTAAACATTATGAAGAAAAGTAGAGCAAAGGACTAGGGAAGTGACTGCCACATGTCCTTCTTGAGGAGGGATGCCTTACACAGAATCTTGAAATAATGTAGAGGCACGTGACTATCTGGAGAAAGTGTAGCTCAGTCAGAGTGAGTACCAAGGCCCTGAGGCAGGAGCATGCTTGGTAGTTAAAGAAAGCCTGCTGAAAGCAAGCCTTTCTTGCAGCTTTCCCAAACCTCCCACAGCAGCCCCAGCCCCTCAGTCCACAGGACATCAGAGAAGAGGTGCTACCACCCAGCAGCACCCTGGCTCACCCACTGCTCCTCTCCCCTTACCTCCTGC